GCAGTGCAGTAGCCCTATAAATCAGGGTCATGAGATGTACCTTGTTTCTATATAGACGCCGGTCATACATCCTCTTTGAAGAGCGTTAGATAAATGGCTAGCCTGTCAGCATCACATAGTTGGAGAAATTAGAGTCGTTGCTATGGCCACAAGGAGGGGGAGGGGGAGGTGTGTAGCAAATTGGATCTACTAAGGATTTTTATGCTGTTTCTCCATAACGAAATTCACAGAAATGGTCCATCTGCATTAAAATATTTTCTTCACAGATTAAATTAAGTGAAGTCGTCGGCACTGGAAAAGATGGACGCATTCTCAAAGAAGACATCCTGAACTTCATAGCCGGACAGACGGGGGCCATCTTACCCCCAGCGCCCTTCCAGGAGATTCGTCCTCCCCCTCCTGCGGCCGCAGCACCTTCGGCTCCAGCTGCGAAGCCCAAAGAGAAGATGACTCCACCTAGTGTACCCACTCCTGCGATCCCTAAACCCGTTTTCACAGGCAAAGACCACACTGAACCCATTAAAGGTTTGTTTGCTTGTGTGTTTCGATTTGTAAGTTGATTCACTCACTGAAATGTTGAATGAAAATCTTTTAACGAAGTTTTTCAGAAGGCGATGGGTAAAATTTTGTCCGCAGTAACTTTTTGCTCTAAAGCAGAATTCAAATTTTTAATGAAATTTAAACATTTAAAGTTTTTTATTTTAACGAAGCTTTTCCGAAGGTGATGGTTAAGACTAGAATCAAATGCATGGTCAGCCAATCCCATAATGCATTGCGACAAGGTCAGTGTAATCAAAGCCGATATGATGATCTTACGTAATTGTTCTCTCTGTGCAGAAATATATTAATGAGAGTAGTTAAATATAGGTCATTTACAATTTTCGTTTGTGTTATGCATTTTAACATTAGCTTAGCAACACGTTAGCGATAAACTCAAAATCACTTGAAATCTATTGTGAACAGCGCTATTTACATTTTTCTTACAAAGGCTTTCAGAAGGCAGTGGTTAAAACTATGTAAGCGGTAAACTTTGGCTCTAAGGCAGAATCACGTGTATGCTTAGCCAGTCCCATAATGCATTGTGCCAAGTTCAGCGTATAAAAACCAGAATGACCGACAAAGCCAATATGACGACTTTACATAATTATTCACTCAGTAAAGTAAAATATTAATAAATAAACTAGTTAATTTTACACAATTTTTGTGTCATGTATTTTAATGCATATTACAGCATTTCGCATTTAGCTTAGCAATATGCTAACATTAAACTCAATTGAAATCAGTTTTGAACAGCACAATTTGCACGACCTTAGTTTTTTTTAAATAAAGAGGGCAGTAGTTAAGACTTTTTCTACTGTATTTATTTTGCTCTAAGGCAGAATCACTTGCACACTTACTAAATCACATAATACATTCTGACCTTACGAAAATTAACCATGGTTTTACTACAAATAAAACCAAGAAACCACAAATGAACCATAGTTTTGCTGCACTAACCATAGTTTAACCATGGTGTTTGTAGTAAAACTGTGGTTATACAAATAGTAATCAATATGCCAAAAAACATGGTTACTACATTTTTACTATAATAAAACCATGGTTCATTTTAGTAGTTCAATGTAGTTAATTTTACACAATATTTTTGTATTGTATTGCACACTATAGTAATGCGCAGTTAGCTTAGCAGCATGCTAACATAAAATTGAAATTAAGTGTGAACAGCACAATTTTTATTGATTTTTTTCTTTCCAAACAAAGGCTTTCAGAAGGCAATGGTTAAGACTATGTCAGCAGCCCTGAAGATCCCTCACTTTGGTTTCAAAGACGAAGTGGATCTGAGCCAGCTGGTCCGATTGCGCTCCGAGCTAAAAGGCCTGGCAGAGTCGCGAGGAGTGAAGCTCAGCTACATGCCGTTCTTCATCAAGGTATGAAAGTGATTTGTGGGGTTAAAAAACTCAAAATAAACCTGGTTTTAATATAACTATCTTCTTCACAAACAGGCAGCATCTCTTGGTCTCCTCCATTTTCCCATTCTCAACTCTTCTTTGGATGAAAACTGCACAAATATCACCTATAAGGTAATGTTTCCATCTATAATAAAGATATTTCAGATGAAATTGAGGTTCAGATTAAATGGTCGTCCTCCTCCAGGCTGCTCATAACATTGGACTGGCGATGGATACCAATCAAGGTCTTCTGGTACCCAACGTCAAGAACGTACAGATGCTCAGCGTCTTTGAACTCGCAGTGGAGCTCAACCGCCTGCAGACGTTGGGAGCGGCAGGGCAGTTGGGGACCGCTGACCTCACGGGGGGAACGTTCACGCTCTCAAACATTGGATCGGTAAGTTGAGAACTGCAGGTTGACCTTTGCTTGCTCCCGTGATGTAGTGCTAATTGTATAGCTATGCATGGAAATGACGTAACATTAACGTTATTGTTTTTGTTGAAAGATTGGAGGAACCTATGCAAAGCCGGTCATATTGCCGCCCGAGGTTGCCATCGGTGCTCTTGGGAAGATCCAGGTGTGTAAAGTTTTGTGCTAAAATTCCATTTTACATATGTGACCCTGGAGCACAAAACCAGTCTTAAGTCGCTGGGGTATATTTGTAGCAATAGCCAAAAATACATTGTATGGGTCAAAATTATTGATTTTTCTTTTATGCCAAAAATCATTAGGATATTAAGTAAAGATCATGTTCCATGAATATATTTTGTAAATTTCCTACTGTAAATATATTAAAACCTAATTTTTGATTAGTAATATGCATTGCTAAGAACTTCATTTGGACAACTTTAAAGGCGATTTTCTCAATATTTAGATTCGTTTGCACCCTCAGATTCCAGATTTTCAAATAGTTGTATCTCGGCCATATATTGTCCTATCCTAACAAACCATACATCAATTTAAAGCTTATTTATTCAGCTTTCAGATAATCTCAATTTCGAAAAATGTAACCTTATGACTGGTTTTGTGGTCCAGGGTCACATATAAATTGCACTATGTAGTGTGCAAGATTAGGATTAGCGCATAACAAATTATAATATGTCGGAGAACAAATTTCCACAGGTTTGCTAATTATCCACTGTTAGCAACAGAGATAAAATTTTACACTATGTAGTGATACAATTTTTCATTAATGTAGTATGTTCCGATACTAGTGTACTAGTTTGCGACATCCTTAAGTATGCAATTTTCCATGCTAGCATCGTAACGTCTTTTCGTACTTTGTAGACGTTTGTGAACATAGGCACACTCCAACCCGCTTTAAAAAAAAAAAAAAAGGTTTTAGATGCACTTCATTTTGGCCAAGATTGAAGGTAGAATCACATGTATGCTTAGCCAATCCCATAATGCATTGCAACAAGGTCCATATAAAAAATACAAAATGTCCTACAAAGCCAACATGGCAAATTTACATAATTATTTACTTAGTACAATATTAATAAAAGTAGTTCAGTCTAATTAATTTTACACTATTTGTTTGCATTATAGTTATGTATTTAACAAATGCTACCGTATTGTACAGTTGGCTTAGCAACATGCTAATGCTAAACTCAATTGGAATCGATTACGAACAGTGTAATTTTTATGCCTGCCTGTATAGAACTTTGCAAATCAGTCTCTTATTAGGTTTTATTTCAGTTAGTATGCTTCAATTAGTATGCTGCCTACAGAGGCACCAAGGCAGCACACTAGATTTGAGAACGGAGCCCAATTTTTAAAGTGACATGATCTTTTTTTTTTTGCGTTCTCCACAGGTGCTGCCCCGATTCAACCACAAGGGCGAGGTAGTGAAAGCGCACATCATGAACGTGAGCTGGTCCGCCGACCACCGGATCATCGACGGAGCCACCATGTGTCGTTTCTCCAACCTGTGGAGATCGTACCTGGAAAACCCCGCTTCCATGGTCCTGGATCTGAAATAGAAAGCACACTTCCTCCAAGCACATCTAGATGTTTGACTCAGTCTCCCGACACTAAAGATTTTTCGTTACTGGGGCACTGAGCTGTTTGAGCCATTGGTTTCCATCATGACTGAAGAACATTTCCACAACGTCATGAAGCTAATAACTGGTGTTTTGTTGTTTTTCTTCTTAATTTTTTCCTCTTGTTGCCTTACTGACATCAGATGTTACATCTACCAGAGCGTATTGTGTATTGTTGAATGTTAGAGAATATGAACTCAGTGTAGCAATATGAAAACGTACCCGTGATGTTTTTGTAAATGAACTTTCCACATACTGTAAAATCTCCAATGGCGTTGCACAAGGGTTTTTAAAAGTGACATTTGTTAGTGGATAACATTTAAAAATAGTCTGGGTTCGTCTCATGAAAATGTCACCTGAAAAAATTATAATAAAAAAGAAATTATATTTTGTAGAATTATTATTATTAATATTATTATTATTATTATTACTGTGACTTTTTCAAATATTGCTATTCCTTAAAAAAAATACATTTCTTGAAGCAAAATATAATTCTTTTTTTTATTTATTTTTTCAGTGCTGCTTTTCTTTCCAGTCAAGCGTTTTTAAAGCACAATGGAAATATATGTGATTCAAACTGGCTGTGGGGAATCTGTACTGATGCGTCCTCTCATCTTCTCTGGTGTGATGATTCTTGTTGGAGCATAATGTTCTGCCACTCATGAATAATGGGAGTTTCCTTGAGGGATTGTTGTGTGAGTGTGTGAAATACGAAGGAAAGCGTTTTAATAAATGATACATTTGAGGAACCGCTTGCAGACTGCTCTTTAAATGATAATATTCCACAGTAAGCAGTGTTACTATTCCATCTCAAAACACGGTTGAACTGGAGCCGGAATGAGCACAGCTGGTAAATCTTATAAGATTTATGATCCTTAGACAAGTCAAACAGAGCTTCAGCGGGGGGTGGAGCTTGTGTCTCATTCTCCGCTTCGATTTTAAAGCCTGGTGCCTCCATCCCTTCGGCACAAACTAAAAGCGGTTTAGATAAGCATCTGTTACAGAAAGAACATGCAGGTAAGACTTTCTTAGATGCCTCAAAAATATTTGAATGAAACAGGATTAATTGTGTTCTAGGTTTACTGTAAGACTAAAAGTGATCAAATAAATGTAACATTACACCATAAATATATGGTTTAAAGTTTGGGGCAAATGAATAAGTAGAAAAACATTGATTTAATCTGAATAAATGGATTGAAAATATTATATAAGACAATAAACGCTGGCAAATTAAATGTTTTGAATGTATTTATTTTTCATTAACAGAACAATCTGACATCAGGATTATAGATTTCTTATAAAACTATGCCCACTTAAATAATTTAAATGTAAAGTAACTTAAATGTAACTATACATGTATGGTGTAATATTTGGTGCAACTGAATGAGAAAAACTATGATTTAATCTGAGATAATTGATTTTAAACAAACAATATTATTAGATACGATAGCAGATATGATTTAACATTCTTTCTTTTTTTTTAAATTAAAAGAATCTGACTTCATTTACATTCATGTAAAATCAATCAAATTAACCAATACAAACCTATTCGATCTGTAATTAATATGCATTGGGGTCGGTAAGTTTTTATTTTTTAAGATACTTTTATTCAGGACACATTAAATTGATCAAAAGTGACAGTAAAGACATTTATATAATGTTACAAAATATTTCTATTTCAAATAAATGCTGTTCATTTTAACTTTCTATTGATCAAAGAATCCTGAAAAATTTATCAAGGTTTCCACAAAAATATTAGGCAGCACAATTTTTCAACTTATATTTGGTGCAACTGAATGAGAAAAACTATGATTTAATCTGAGATAATTGATTTTAAACAAACAATATTATTAGATACGATAGCAGATATGATTTAACATTCTTTTTTTTTTAATTAAAAGAATCTGACTTCATTTACATTCATGTAAAATCAATCAAATTAACCAATACAAACCTATTCGATCTGTAATTAATATGCATTGGGGTCGGTAAGTTTTTATTTTTTAAGATACTTTTATTCAGGACACATTAAATTGATCAAAAGTGACAGTAAAGACATTTATATAATGTTACAAAATATTTCTATTTCAAATAAATGCTGTTCATTTTAACTTTCTATTGATCAAAGAATCCTGAAAAATGTATCAAGGTTTCCACAAAAATATTAGGCAGCACAATTTTTCAACTTCTTTTTTTTTACAGTAAAATATTACTGTTTTTACTGTATTCCTGATCAAATAAATGGTGACCATGGGGGAAAGAGAAGCAAGCAAATTCATACTGTATGACTTTAACAAATTAAATTATCTATTCACATAAGAAAGAGGAGAAACAGTGGAAGAGACCACAAGAGAAAAGCAAAAGCACCATAAGATGGAAAATGTCCAAGGAAGACCTTCAACGAAAGAGCAGGACATCATCACAGATCCCTATCCCGAGGAGATGCACCTCAACCTGGACAACTAAGAAGGAACCAAGAGGCCAGAAGTTCCCATCAAACAGAGACGAGCAGCTCATCCACTACCAGACCATCCCAGAAAGACGCTTCTCCACTGACCGAGCTCATGAAATAATCAAACACATTGTTGATGAAAGACTGGAGACTGTCGAGTACAGCTGCTCATGCTCAGACATCTCCAGGGAACTGTCTGACTGCATTAAGACGGCTGTAAAGAAGCTGCTGAACGATCGATATAAGCTGGTCTGTTATGTGGCCATCGGGCAGCTGAAGGACTCGGTGGTGAACTGCTCCAGTAGAGCCATCTGGAGTCCAAGTTCAGACACGTTCACTGAATATATCTATAAAACCGCTCATGCTCAGACATCTCCAAGGAACTGTCTGACTGCATTAAGACGGCTGTAAAGAAGCTGCTGAACGATCGATATAAGCTGGTCTGTTATGTGGCCATCGGGCAGCTGAAGGACTCGGTGGTGAACTGCTCCAGTAGAGCCATCTGGAGTCCAAGTTCAGACACGTTCACTGAATATATCTATAAAAACAGATCCTTATTTGCTGTTTGCATCTTGTTTGCAGTGTATAAAGAGTAGTGTAACTGATCAACTACGTAACTGATCAACTGGAATTGAAGTGTAAAGTAAGCTATGCATATGTATAGTTGTAGTAAATACTCTGGAAAATGTGAAAATTTTAAATGTCAAAAAAAGGTTTTAATTAAAGATTAGATATTGGAGTATGTTTTACATGAAAATACTATTTCAGTCTTTCTCTGCTTCAGAATTTCATGTTTAATTCAGTGTTACTTGCTGTTTCTGTTTCTAATTGTCAAATTTACTAGCAACTTCCGAGTGAAAATTGTCTGTACACCATTTTTTTATTTCAGTGTATAGCCTAACATTAAAAACGTTCTACTAGAGCAGCAGCCACAATTTACAAATACATATCTAACAGCAATGTTTTGAAATGGTCCTAGGCATCATTGTTAATCAGGTTATGTCGCTCTATTCTTAAATGCATGTCTGGTGTGGTAAAGTATGCAAAAGTGGACAGCTGCTCTTGTGCCAACTGTAACATGTGACCACACTATTCAGTGTTGTCTCGGGTTAAATATAGACACTGGCCGGAGTTACGCTTCAAGAGGGAAACCCTGTAACAAACACTGAGCGGATCATTACTTCAAAGCCTATTCTTTCGACATAGATCACACTTATTGAAATTGTCAGAAGAATTATACCATTGGTGCAGCATTGGTGACTATCGTCTCCATATCAAATGGGAGCTAACCATGTAAAAATATGGTCCAAAATATGGTGCTGGAAGGACAATATGACCCAATGAGAGTGGTAAGCACAAGCTAATTCAAACTTTCTCACAGTTTCTTCAATGTCAATCACAGCTTATCATATACATAGTACTAATTCAAATATGCTCTATCATATCAAACCAAGACAATATGACCCAATGAGAGTGGTAAGCACAAGCTAATTCAAACCTTCTCACAGTTTCTTCAATGTCAATCACAGCTTATCATATACATAGTACTAATTCAAATATGCTCTATCATATCAAACCAAAACAACAAGCAGCGCATGCATTTTCTTGGCCGGTAAAATGGCTTATCTGCTTCCCTAGCATAATGTGTGTGTATTTGGCGCTCTGTATCATCATGACGGGGGTCAAGGTATGCTGTGGGACAGTGAACTCTATCAAGTCTCTGTGGGAAACCAGGATAAAGAAAAGCAAAGATGAACTTAAGAAAGAGAGAGAGCAGAGAGACAGGAGAGCAGTGGGTAGGTACGTCCATTACTGTCATGTATACCATGGGAAGCATATAATTACTTATTTTAAAGCAATGGTTCTCAACTGGTGGGTCGTGACCTAAAAAGGAAGGTTTCTAAGTGCAAATACTAAAGGTAACACTTTAATATTGTGACCAATTCTCACTATTAACTAGTTGCTTATTAGAATGCCTATTATTAACATATTGGCTGTTTCTTAGTACTTATAAAGCACATATTCTGCATGACCATATTCTACATCCCTAATCCAACCCAATACCTAAACTTAACAACTGCCTTATTAACTATTAATAAGCAGCAAATTAGGCGTTTGAGGCAAAAGTTGTAGTTAATGGTTTGTTAATAGCGAGAATCGGACCTTCAAATAAAGTGTGACCACACTAACCATAAATTCATGGTTAAGATAACAAAATACTTTTCAACATCAATGTTCAAGCGTCCACACGAACTCTATGGTTCATCAGTTACTTGGTAGAAGCTAGTCAAATTTGACAACATGGAAAGTTGACATGACCTCATCCCTTGAAAACCAAGAACTAAACTATGCATGGTAAAAGAAGATACAAACCATACTGCATCAAATGTGATTTACGGGTTTGGTACCACATTGGGTCATCACTTGATGTCAAATGTAAAATCTAGACTCTGAAGAATTAACCAGTTGAGAACCACTGCACAGACTATGCTTTTGTCTATCCTGTGATATTGAATAGTTCAAACTCTTTGGCGTAGGTTGACAGGTGCCTGGGAGGATCGTATCACTTTGGCCAAGCTAAAGGAAAAAGTTGTGACGGAGGAAGGACGTGTCATTCTGCGGATTGAAAAAGAGGAGTGGAAGGTAAAGCATTTTGTGACTTGTACTTTGTGAATTTGTTGCTACTTTCAAATTAGAATTTTAAAAAAAATTCTGTCAACTAGAGAGGAAGGTGCATGATTGATTTGTTAATACAAATAGGTCTTGTCCTAAAGGGGTGGTGAATGGACTTGTGCCCAAGTGACCTACACTTGGCACAGGTGTTAAATCCTTCTCCTGGAGGGCCACATTCCCACAGAATTTACCTCCTGAAGACCTTGACTAGTTGTATCAGGTATGTTTAACTAGGGTTGAAGCTCTGCAGGACACTGACTCTCCAGGAACAGGACTGGACCCCCTTGGGCTAAGGATATGGTTTGGGGCAGGACTTACAGCAAAGGTGTCCAATCCTGCTTCTGGGGTTCCTGCAGTTTAGCTTCAACCTACCCCAACACACCTGCCTGGGTATTTAAAGTGTGTTTGACTTGAAGCAGCGCTACACACACCGATCAGTGTAGGACATCAAAGTACCATGAGAGCAGATGGCTCCTTGCTTTCGAATCGCTCTCGTGGTACTTTGATGTCATAAACAAATCAGTCTGTGAAGCACAGCTTCAAGTCGACCAGACCTATTTTGAAGACCTTGATTAAGTGGTTCAAGTGTGTTTAATGGAGGTTGGAGCTAAACTCTGCAGGAAGGTGGCCCTCCAGGAACAGGATTGGATAACCCTTGACTTCTGAAAGAGTTAGTAGTTTTAATTGGCTAAAACATCCATCAAACTGCTCACATATTTGCAGATTTAACGGTCTATCGACTTTAATAAGTTTTATTTTATTTATTTTTTGCATTGAGTGTTTGGTTTCCACTGTTTCCACTCTTTTTGCAGACTCTTCCTCCAGCTTTGGTCCAACTCTCACAGATCCAAGAATGGCAGTTACACCGAATAGGACTTCAAAAAATCCCACAGTTCATCTCAAGCTTTGAAAGCCTCATAGTCTTGGACTTGTCTCGTAATTCAGTCACAGAGATTCCCAAAGAGATTGGTCAGTAAAAAAATGGGTGTCACCTGTACAAACTTTGACTTTCTTTAGCTGAAGTAACTCTGATACGCTCTTCTAAATAACAGGCAAACTAACTCGGTTACGAGAGCTGTTGTTGAGCTATAACAGAGTAAGCCATGTACCAGAAGAACTTGGCTGTTGTGAAAATCTGGAGAAACTGGAACTTGCAATGAACGAAGATCTGGATGGGCTGCCTACTCGGGTATCAATAACATTGAACAGGTGTATATATACACGTCATATTTTGTCTTTAAAACTCTATATATACCTACCACCTGTGCTTGCTTTGATCTAATTTCCTTAGCTTAGCAATCTAAAGAACCTGTATCACTTGGACCTCTCCATGAACCAATTCACCACCATTCCAGATTGTGTGGTCAACCTTCCTTCTCTAGAGTGGCTAGACATGGGCAGCAACAAGTTGGAAAGTTTGCCAGAAGATATTCACAGGTAAAAACTAAACTACAAGCAACTTCGGATCATTTTTTTTCTTTCAATGTACTATTAATAGAACCAAGATTTTGTAATAAATCCTATGAACTTTATATCCCAATTTAATCTAGAATGGATAAACTTCACACCCTGTGGCTCCCAAGAAATGAACTAGAGTACCTGCCAGACAATATCAGTCGCATGCAAAGTCTGGACACACTAGTTCTGAGCAAAAATAAACTACGAGACATTCCTCCACTTATGGAGCCAGAAAACTCACCCGTTGAGGGTATCTGGTAAAGCTTCCTCGCTCATCTCATGTTCTTCCTCTTCATCTCTTTTATGTTCGCTTGGTTTTTCTGTTATCTTAGAGCCAAATTTTCTCATCCCACATGTGGCCCAGCTCGACATGCGCTGAAAGGCAGCAAACTCTTCCGGTCCAAGACCTTTCTGCCTGAAGAACTCTTTTCCCACATAGTGTCTCCAGTCGCAACGGTGGTGGCAGCAAAGAGCGATAGCCAGTCCTGACACTATGAGCTTTTTACCAGTTTCCCTGACTTCGGTTGAGGGAACAGGCTTAATATCATCACAAGCACCCTCATTCTGATGGAGTTTTACACGCTTGGTTGGAGGTTCATCATCTTCGTCGGAGCAGCTGTGCTCAAATAAACACCGAAGGGCCAGATCTGTGGAGACAAGTTGACAAAACTCAATCTTGTAGTACTGATACCGTAATGATGTTTATTGAAATCTTGTCTACCAGTTGCTGCACCACACAGGTGCTTCCCAACACCAATAACAGGAAGTCCCTTTTCTCTCAGAAGAGGGACATTCCCTGAAAGGTACAAAGAACAAATCTTATTTATGAGAAGATGAAGCTTAAGATTAAGATCATTAGGACTAGTTTAAGAAGCTAACTCACATAAATCAAGGTGCTGAATATCAACCTGAAGCCTATCAAAAGTTGAGCCTGCATTTTTGTGCTTGCCATCTACCTTAAAAAGACATGAAATTGAAATGTAACCTTACTTTCCAGTAGAAAGAACAATATTTTTTCCTGTACTTGAGGAAAGAATAGCTTCATGTGAATGACACCACACCTTAAAGCGAGTACTGGACCTTTCCACAAGTAAAAAATGGACATTTTCAGCTGCTTTAAGAGCGATGTGAATCCAGTGGGACAGTTTTCCCTTCCCTGCTCCAAACTCTATGTAGCATCTGTTTGGGCTGAGCAATTCCAAAACCTCCATGTTTCCAAGAATCGAGGCCTGTGAAACCGGGTAACATTTCTTGAAAATAAGGATAAACAAAGACTTTTTATATAGTATGTGTGGTTTGGCAGTTTTAGAGTAATTTACCTGTTGCTTGAGGTGTTTAAAGGCAGAATCTCCATTCTTTGGGTCATTTAGAGGCTCATAAAGAGCAGAATGTGAGAGTGTGTTTTCAACAAGTTTGGTATTTAGTCCTGAGGGAACAGGCAAACATGTACGAATCCATTAATAATTACATAAAAAGATGATATAACCAGATTTAAGTCATGTGATAAAACTCAAGTGACAGTTGCCTTTCAGTGCAGTTTTGAGTTTCACAATCAGCTCATCCAGTTCCTCTTTAGATCGTTCAGCGATGGTTATCTGCATTGATGCGTCATTATTAAGCACATATCTATTCTTTAAAGCCATGAAATTTAGATACACATGCTCTCATAAGCAATACGATCACCTCCTCTATGGTTTCATCTTCACTTGCAGAACCAGCATTGATGTCTTTCACATAATAAATCTAATATAAACAAATCAAACATAGCAGTGTCATTTACACAACAAGCATTGCGTTATGCCACATGGATTTGTAAAAAATTTTTAATGTAGAAAAACATCACTCAAAAAATAAGGGTAAATGGAGTTATTTATACATACAGGTTTTGGTTTCTCCTTAGAGTTACATTTCTTCAGGTGTTTAGCCAAATTATCTTCAAATACAGTGCTGTTTAAAACAGGAGAGAAGATTTTTAAATATAACAACATAAAATTTCAAAGTCTGCCACCGAGACATGGGACAAAACTCTTTTAGGAATAATCAAAATGTAACTTTTAACCAGAGATGATCACTAATGTTCTAAACATAAATGTACAATTAATTTGATTTCTCTTTATTACTTTTTTTTTTTTAATTACATGACCCTTAAAACCACCTCAGACTGTACCTTAATATTTCATGTTGACTATATGACAGAAGGATACAGAGTTTAATTTTAAAATACACTTTTTAGGTTCCGAATGTCTTTAAAGTAAAATAATTACATATATTTATATCAAGTTGATACTTATATCAACTTATATTTATATCAAGTCCTTAGAATGCAAAATATGGCTATTTTGTAAATAGTAACATTTTCTATCTGACTGAGGCAATTTAACTGATGTAGCTAAAAATCTGTTTGACACCAGTCATAATTCATTAATTCACTTCCAGATTTGTCAATTATCATATTAATTCATTTATTAAGAAATATTCAAGCCACATATAACATTTCTATATGCATGAATCTGAATCCTCCACTTATGGAGGGCATGAGTAACCTCAGGTAAGCACCAAAGTACTGTGTTCAATTTGTAGAACTTCATTGGGGACCAATAAAAAGCTTAATTAAAGCAAAACAGTGATTCTATAGGAAAGCCTGAAACCTATTTCATGCAAGTATGGGAATGCAAATACTTCTTGGACGGAGTTGCAAAACACCAGTGAAGCATTTGTGTCTGTATACTTGCGCATTTGACAAATTATTACAATTACTAAGCTTAAAATTCTCATTCTGCAGGTTTGTGAATTTCCGAGACAATCCTTTGACATATGATGTGATGCTTCCTGATTTAAAAGAGAATGTAGATGAAGAAGAGAATGACAGGGAGATGTTTGGTCGTGACTTCATGCACTTCTACATCCAAGAGGCCCGGAAAAGAGGTTATACCGTACTCAATATGTATTGCGTGCAAAACTGTTAGCAGAACTTTATCATAAAATGTTGCATAAATAAAGAAATTAAAGCCTTGAAAGCCTCTTAACGACCAACTTCTGCATTGAATGTTTCTTGCAGGATCCCAAACTTTCACATCAGTGCTAAATGTGACGTTGGATGGCGTGTCAGAGACAGCATCGTCTTTGTAATTTGCATGCTGGCTTCTGTCTGCTCGTCCGCCTTCAGGCTTGATCTTCCGGTCCATCATGCCAAGTTCTATGAAGAGAACTTCTTGTCTTTTAAATGTGTTGTCTTTTATGCTGTTTGTTGGAGTTGCTGCTTCCTGCTAGTATGTCGTAACTAATGTTTGTGGATGAGCAAAAATCTATAAACACTGATGAAATAAAATGAAGCATATGTGTCCTACACTTGTGCTTGTTTGTTTGTTTTAAAAAGGCTGTTGAGATTTCTATTCTAATTGGCTGTGGGAATGGCAGTTAGTAACACATTCTCCAATGAAACGTCTCTGCTTGTGTAGTATTTCAGGCTGGTTTTAAAGCCTTTTTGCTGGAGGTAATACAATCTGCCGTGGTCAATCAGACGTTTACAAAGCCGTCCGATCTGTTCCCGATCTTCAACTGACATCAAACTGCAAGAAAAACGTTTACAAATGAGATCATGATCTTAGTAAAATAATTACATATATTTATATCAAGTTGATACTTATATCAACTTATATTTATATCAAGTCCTTAGAATGCAAAATATGGCTATTTTGTAAATAGTAACATTTTCTATCTGACTGAGGCAATTTAACTGATGTAGCTAAAAATCTGTTTGACACCAGTCATAATTCATTAATTCACTTCCAGATTTGTCAATTATCATATTAATTCATTTATTAAGAAATATTCAAGCCACATATAACATTTCTATATGCATGAATCTGAAACTCTGGAATAATTTCTTTGATTCAGTTTGGACTGAACTACTTCATTTTTAAACACTACGAAAACTTTCTCAAACTTTTTAGAAGAGTGAACATCTTACTGTTTGGGGTCCAAAGGACAGGGTATTCGTTTTTTCTCACTCTCTTCACCCTACATGGAAATGACATCAAAGTTTGAGCAAACAGTAACTTATTAATAACCTAATATTAATAGGGGTAAGGTAAGTAGTAGTGCGTGCATCCATTCAGAGCAGCACAACATTGACATTATAACGTATTTTCATTCACATACAGCATTTGCATGTTCCCCGCAGAAGGTTTTCCCACTTCCAACAATCATCTTGCAGTATCGTTTCTTTTTTGCTACATAAAAAGCACATCGTCCTGGTAAAGGCGCTAACACGCCGTCTGCTACGGACCCCTCCATACTAATAATACTGATAACGCAACTAACTCACTTCCGCAAGCCATTTCAAAATAAGAGCCATGAACAACAGCGAGCTGAGAAAAATTAATAAATAAATAACGCATACATTTTATTTATTTATTTGTTTGTTTGTTTGTTTGTTTGTTTGTTCGTATAATCGTTAACTTTTCTTAAAACTGTTATTATTATTATTATTATTATTATTATTATTAATAGTAGTAGTAGTAGAACACTTTTATCGTGGCTGTTTACTTACATCAAAACCGGAAGTGCATCGTCATCATGCGTGTTGTCAGTCAGCTGTTTATTTACATATTGCCGTATGATGTTAGTTTGTGTTTGCGTTGACTTCACGAGCGGCAGCACGCGCACAGTCTGTATGGAGTTGCACAACAGATTGTAAGATGTTTGCCGAAGATGCTTGTGAAGAACTTTGCACTATTAGCAAAGACGCACATGTGTGAGTTTCACAAACAGGAAGCGGGCATCACATGCTCTGTCAAATCTATGATAAAGCACAATTTATGGAAATCTTTTTTATTTTTAATTAATGCATGTAAGTTTTTATTGCGGAGTATCTCTCGATCAAGGATGGTAGCGTGTTTCGAAGTCTTGCTTTAACTTTTAAAAACAGGCAAGTCTTCTTATATTTCTTCTTTTTTTTAAGTTAGAACTTATGCAAATATATTTCCATTTTTGATTTTTAATATATAAGCTATGTTTACAGCGGTGCGTCTGGATTTGAGCATTTATTAGTGTTAAAGAGATGTGTCCTAATTTATATATGAGTGAGTTATATAATTTATTTGGATTTTATATATTTTTGTTATTTCTGTTTGCATATTTTATTTTTGACTGCAGCTCATGACCACATCTCACCCAATTAAGTGGTAATTAAACCCACATCCTGATGAAGGTCTCCAATATTCGCATCATGTAAATAAACTGAAAGATTCAGTGTATAGAAACTATCTCCGATACCTTTTAGAATGGTTAGCTAGTTTTATCGTTTTAAGTGTCAGTTCCCATAAAGTTACTCCAAAAGGTATGAAGCAATCAGATGAAGACAGGTTGATCAAGTTGAACAATCCCGGTGATGATTTGCTCAGACAAGTTTGTATCAAGTCTTAAGAAGTCCAGAAAGTCACATCGTCCCTGAGCTCCCTCTAGCTATTTATTTACAACCGTTATAGGCAATTTCATAACTTTGTAGTGTAACTAGTTCTTTCCAGGAAATGATTGACAGTTCGCTCAGCTTTTGGAATTTGATGCATTCAGTTGGTCTTGGAAACACTAATGCGCATGATTTTTAACCTTTTTTATTCAGTTCAGTTGTGGTTTAGACCTAGTTTGACTCTTAAACGTATATATTACACGTTTTTTAGCGTAACTTACTGACCTACATTCCACCAAACGGTTATTGCGTAAGTGACGTTGTTAATCTGCATACCAAGACATTTTGCCTGCTTTGTTGCTTCAGAGGCCGACATAATATTAACCCTGTAAAGCCTGACATATGAAATAATAGTCAATGTTTTTTGGTTGTTGTTTGTGAAGTGGAACAGTTTATTAAACCTTTAGACAAAATCTAAAAAGAAATCGTTTTCATACGTATTTTCGTTGAGTATCTTTCATAGGCTTTTATGGCTCATATTGTAGCCTATACTATGAGGATGTGGAGCTCATACTTGAGGGAGAAAAAAACATCTAAACTCAGAGGAAAGATATTAAATTTGCTGTAAATGGCCAAAATGTTACGACGAATTTCTGATAGTTACTGTAAATCAATGAGATATTTATAACAGAATACTTACATCTAGTGCTGTCAAACGATTAATCGCATCCAAAATAAAAGTTTTTGTTTACTTAATATATGTGTGTTCTGTGTATATTTATGTATATAAATACACACTCATACAGTATATATTTTGAAAATATTTACATGTATATATTTATATAATTTATATTATATATAAATAAATTTGCATATAAATCTAACATATTCTTCCTTAATACATGTATGTGTGTGTATTCATATATACATAATATACACAGTACACACTAGGCCTGTCGCAATAATCAATATATCGACTTATCGTGCAATATATAGAAATAACATCTGTTAGTGAGCTGTATGACTTAGGCAAAGCACAATTATCAAACTGATTCCAATAGAGGTTGCATGTTGTTAGCATGTTGCTAAGCTATTATGCTTAATATTCTATTAAGCATAATACATTAGTACACGTATAATCGTTTTTCTTAAAACTGTTATTATTATTATTATTATTATTATTATTATTAATAGTAGTAGTAGTAGAACACTTTTATCGTGGCTGTTTACTGTCATCAAAACCGGAAGTGCATCGTCATCATGCGTGTTGTCAGTCAGCTGTTTATTTACATATTGCCGTATGATGTTAGTTTGTGTTTGCGTTGACTTCACGAGCGGCAGCACGCGCACAGTCTGTATGGAGTTGCACAACAGATTGTAAGATGTTTGCCGAAGATGCTTGTGAAGAACTTTGCACTATTAGCAAAGACGCACATGTGTGAGTTTCACAAACAGGAAGCGGGCATCACATGCTCTGTCAAATCTATGATAAAGCACAATTTATGGAAATCTTTTTTATTTTTAATTAATGCATGTAAGTTTTTATTGCGGAGTATCTCTCGATCAAGGATGGTAGCGTGTTTCGAAGTCTTGCTTTAACTTTTAAAAACAGGCAAGTCTTCTTATATTTCTTCTTTTTTTTAAGTTAGAACTTATGCAAATATATTTCCATTTTTGATTTTTAATATATAAGCTATGTTTACAGCGGTGCGTCTGGATTTGAGCATTTATTAGTGTTAAAGAGATGTGTCCTAATTTATATATGAGTGAGTTATATAATTTATTTGGATTTTATATATTTTTGTTATTTCTGTTTGCATATTTTATTTTTGACTGCAGCTCATGACCACATCTCACCCAATTAAGTGGTAATTAAACCCACATCCTGATGAAGGTCTCCAATATTCGCATCATGTAAATAAACTGAAAGATTCAGTGTATAGAAACTATCTTCGATACCTTTTAGAATGGTTAGCTAGTTTTATCGTTTTAAGTGTCAGTTCCCATAAAGTTACTCCAAAAGGTATGAAGCAATCAGATGAAGACAGGTTGATCAAGTTGAACAATCCCGGTGATGATTTGCTCAGACAAGTTTGTATCAAGTCTTAAGAAGTCCAGAAAGTCACATCGTCCCTGAGCTCCCTCAAGCTATTTATTTACAACCGTTATAGGCAATTTCATAACTTTGTAGTGTAACTAGTTCTTTCCAGGAAATGATTGACAGTTCGCTCAGCTTTTGGAATTTGATGCATTCAGTTGGTCTTGGAAACACTAATGCGCATGATTTTTAACCTTTTTTATTCAGTTCAGTTGTGGTTTAGACCTAGTTTGACTCTTAAACGTATATATTACACGTTTTTTAGCGCAATTTACTGACCTACATTCCACCAAACGGTTATTGCGTAAGTGACGTTGTTAATCTGCATACCAAGACATTTTGCCTGCTTTGTTGCTTCAGAGGCCGACATAATATTAACCCTGTAAAGCCTGACATATGAAATAATAGTCAATGTTTTTTGGTTGTTGTTTTTGAAGTGGAACAGTTTATTAAACCTTTAGACAAAATCTAAAAAGAAATCGTTTTCATACGTATTTTCGTTGAGTATCTTTCATAGGCTTTTATGGCTCATATTGTAGCCTATACTATGAGGATGTGGAGCTCATACTTGAGGGAGAAAAAAACATCTAAACTCAGAGGAAAGATATTAAATTTGCTGTAAATGGCCAAAATGTTACGACGAATTTCTGATAGTTACTGTAAATCAATGAGATATTTATAACAGAATACTTACATCTAGTGCTGTCAAACGATTAATCGCATCCAAAATAAAAGTTTTTGTTTACTTAATATATGTGTGTTCTGTGTATATTTATGTATATAAATACACACTCATACAGTATATATTTTGAAAATATTTACATGTATATATTTATATAATTTATATTATATATAAATAAATTTAATATACAAATATAACATTTTTCTTGAATACATACATGCATATATACACAGTATACACATATGTAAACAAAAACCTTTATTTTGGATGCTGTTAATCGCGATTAATCGTTTGACAGCACTAAAACACAAATAAATATCAGTTGTCAGTATATATTTCATGATATTTAAATGCTTAGTTTTATGATCAAAGCTCTGTCAGGTTTTATTGTGAGGGGAAAAACATAATTAAGTGCAATACAAAGATGACTGAGAGATGAAATCTTTCTCAAAAACATGATGTATCATATTCGAAACTCACATTTTAACTTGATTTTTCTAAAAAATGATGTATGGATAATCAGGTAAACCTAAGTTGCTTCAGTCCAGCGAGTGTTCATCTTGAAATATTATTAACAGTATATAAGTTTCTCTTACATTTACGATATAAAAATCTGAAAAGATTTTGAAAAAGACATCTTTTTAGAAAAAAGAACGAAAAATGTTTGTCTTTTATTTGCTAAAAAAGTATAAACGATCAGTCACATGACAGAAGGCATGTAGTTTTGATCATGTTCATAACTTATCAAATATGATACACTAGGCTATATAGGGTTAACCTGTTAAGGATTTATTATATTGTCAGGTTTTCTTTGGTGCTTTTTCACAAGAAAAGTAAAGATACACTAGGCTATATAGGGTTAAGGTTTATATTGTTAGGTTTTCTTTGGTGCTGTTTCACAAGATCTTTATTATAAGGGTATTTCTGATGTCACTAAACGCTTCTGCTCTGTTTATGGCTTTTAGATGAAAATGAATGCGTATCAAAGCAGAGTCATGTGACGCTCATAGTTTTCCTCTAGTCTAAACAAGGAAATCACATGGCAGATGTTTCAAAGAATTCGCCTTCATATGTTTCCTGGAAGACTTAATGCCTTTTAGATACACTGCACTTACTCTGTTACTCAGGGCTCTGATTTTTGGTTTGTAATGCTTTTTTTTGTTTTGTTGGTGAAGTGATGGAGGAGCTGGATCCAGAGGAGCACTTCCTCAGGGACGCCAGGAACGGGAACCTAGAAGGGATCCAGAAGCTTTTGATGTCCAAGATAAAGGAGGAGGCCGAAATCGACATCAACTGCAAGGGTAGAACACGTCATTAGGTTTCTTTTGACCATTCATATGTTTCTAGACATATTGGAGTACTTCTAACAGCATTACGTTGTGTCAGGCAAGAGCAAATCTAATCATGGCTGGACTCCTCTTCATCTGGCCTGCTACTTTGGACACAAGGATGTTGTTGAGGCCTTACTGAAGGTATCGATCGTCTCAGCCTTTTATATTCTCGTGTACATAGGTATGTTTATGAGCAGAATTTGTGCTCAGTATATTAGTGTCTAGTTTTAGCTCCTCTGTGCTTCTTACAGGCTGGAGCAGATGCCAATTTGCCAAATAATGTCGGAGATACGCCTCTCCATAAAGCAGCATTCACTGGGAGAAAAGTATGTATTGTATATGTTCATGCACTGAGACTATGGATATTAGCTTGAGACAGACAGATAATCAGTTTGACTTTGTGTAGTAAATAGTACACAAGTACACTAGCTACAATAGTAAATGTGTAGCAGCCCTAATGGATAGCTCTAAAATAAAGATGAAAAAAATGTGCAAACTTTGAGATCACAAAACATTGTGACATTGTGTAACTGTAATGATAATTATTATTAACTAAATGATTTTAGTAATTATAAATGGTGAATTTTACTGTTAATTAAAAAAAATGTAATAGTATTTTAAGACATTTTATTATATTAAAATATATTCAGATTTCTTATTAAATGTATATTTAACATGTTTTAATTTTAGCTGAATGATTCCTAAATTATTACTATTGAATTTTGAACTTCTAGCTGCTGAGAGGACTGAAGAGAGGAAACTAGAGGAGCAGCTGCTGGAGGCGGCGCGAGAAGGAGCCATATCTACCCTCACAAGACTGGTAACCTTGCTAACTACTTTGAGGAACTTTGTTGTTCTACTCTGTTTCTAAACTACTTTTTTAAACCGTAATATCTGATCTTCTGGTTCGTCATGTAGCTAAACATGAAGAAACCCCCGAACATAAATTGCACGGACTTGTTGGGAAACACACCGCTGCACTGCGCGGCTTACAGAGGCCAGAAACAGTGTGCCGTCAAACTCCTGCAGCACAAGGCCAACCCCAACATCAAGAACAAAATCGGTAATGAGCTCCACCTTACTGCAGCCTCATTTTTTTAAAGCATTCAACACTGTTGCGTTTTTCGTCAGGCCAATATTTTCTCAGTTCGCTGTACACTTGTGTGTTGTTTTCGTTGTTTTAGGTTTGTTACTGTCATAGTCCTATTTTTACTATTTTAGTACATCTAGAAATTAATATGACACGTTATGTTATAAACAAAACAAAATAACAGTGCATGATTTTTTTTTTTTTTTAATTTATGAAATATTTGAATGACCTGACTTTTTGTGGTTATCTGAAACATGCTGATGTTAATTTTTGCATTTTGTTTCTCATTTGTTTTCAGATCAGACTGTTTTTGATTTGGCTAACGATGCAGAAATGAAGCAGATCATTACTGGAAATGTTATGAAAGTAGGTTTATTTATCTGGACATTTCTGATGTCACAAATATATGCAAATATATGCATTTAAAAAAAAACCTTGTCCATCACCATATCATATCATAACACTGATATATTGCTAATTTTACACTTATTTACAGTGGTGTGCCTTTTTTTAGTGAATTTTGTTTTGTTTTTACAACACTTTGATTTCTGTAGGGCATGACGCGACATGTTAAAATGTTCGAGGGGCCTCTTTGGAAGGTATGTTTTATCAAAATCTATATGTTTTGAAAAGAAATTATTATTTTTTAATTTCTTTTTTATTCTGTATTTCAATTTCCTTTTTTATTTTTATTGCAGAGTTCAAGGTTTTTCGGCTGGCGCTCCTACTGGGTAGGTCTTCAGGATGGAGTCTTGTCATGGTACCCTAAACAGTGAGTACCTGCCTCTATTCCAAAAATGTGATGCTCTGATTAAAATAAAAGTATGATATATAATAGAATTTAATGATAGCAAAATTGCTGAAATGAAAGACTTATTTAGCAAAATGTACAGAAATAAATATTTTTAAAACTTCAATTTTAATTGTAATGTTTCATACGTGAAGAAATAAATACTGTAAAATTGTAAATTTACAATATTTTTCAACTAATCAAAGTCATAATATGTAATAAAATCTAATGATAGGATAATTGCTTAAAGACTCATTTTGGGAAATCAAACTAATTTTTATGTTTCATTTAATCATTTCAATTCATTTTCATCATTTTTTTTATTTCAATGTCATAACATATGATAATTTAATGATAGCAACATTTCTGAAATTAAAGTCTTATTTTGGAGTATTTTAAGAAATAAATATTTGAAAACTGTACTTTTTATTGTAATGTTCCATCCTTATATTATATCCATAATATGTAATAAAATGTAATGATAGCAAAAATGCTTAAATTAAAAACTTATTTTTCTTTGAAAACTATTTTTTAACTCAGTTTCATAATATATAATAAAATATAATTACAGTAAAATTTCTGAAATGAAAGAGTTATTTAGCAAATTTCGAAGAAATAAATATGTGAAAACTGTAATTTTTATTGTAAAGTTTCATCCTTTTTTAAATAATCAAGTTCATAAAATGTAATAATGTAATAAAAAATAACTAGCTACAATAAACTTAATTTTAGACTTAATTTTGCAAAATGTGAAAAATAAATACTTGAAAAATAATTTTTATTGTAGTGTTCCATCCTTATATTAACTCATCAGAGTCATAATATGTAATAAAATGTAATGATAGCAAAATTGCTTAAATTAAAAACATATTTTCTTTGAAAGCTAATTCTTATTGTAATATTTCATCCTTTATTAATTTCATTATATAATAAAATATAATTACATTAAAATTCTGAAATTAAAGAATTATTTAGCAAGATTCAAAGAAATAAATATGTGAAAACCGTAATTTTTATTGTAAAGTTTCATCCTTTTTTTAAACCATATGTAATAAAATTTAATGATAAACAAATTGCTAAAATTAAAGACTTATTTTGCAGAATTTTAAAAAATACATATTTGAAAACTAATTTTTATTGTAGTGTAACTCATCAAGGTCATAATATATATAATACTTTTTAATGGTATCAAAATTACTTAACTTATTTTTCAAAATTTGCAGAAATAAATATTTGGCAACTCATTTTTTTTAAGCAACTTTTCACTATTTTTAACTCATCAAGGTCAGATGCAGATTCAAACACACACCGGCAAGGTTGCAAACCTCTAACACAAGCGCACTGCATGGTAAGATTGATTTGATTAAATGAATAGAAATGAATAAGATGCTGATTCATGTTTTGTGGGATTGTTAACAGGTTTTCTTTCCAACTGTCAGATTAAAGCGAAAGATAACAGCTATTTCACGATCAAGTGCTTTGACGACAGTGTTCACCATTTCAAAGTGTCACAGAAGAACAACCCCGAGGCCACCAGAAAAGTGAGATTCCCTTCAGCTCTGTTGTGTAGTTCAGACCGGAGTGTGTTGTGTACGTTTGTGTGAATGTGTGTGTTGTTGTTCAGAGGTGGCTGGAGGCCATAGAGGAGCATTCAGCCTTCAGCACTCATTACTGCTCACAAGACCCAGACAGCGAGGAAGAGGAAGACAACGTTGTGTCTGTACATGAGCTTTCTGACTCACTTCAGGTGAGAAATGATATCTGCTTCTTGATTTGTTGATGAAGTCGCATCTTGATGATAAATGCACATGGCCGCCGGTTCTTCCTTATGTAGCTGTTAATCATGTGACAATTATTTATAAGCAGAAAAAGGTTGTATTATTTACAAAAAACAATTACAAAGACGAATACTGGCAGATAAAAAAATTGTTGAAAAATAAGTATTTAAGAAATACATATTTGAAAATGTCATTTTTATTGTAATGTTTGGAGAAAATTACTGTGTGTGTGTGTGTGTGTACATACATATATATATATATATATATATATATATAAAATTTTAAATATTTTGCAACTAACTGCATTTATATAAGTTAAAGTTTTTCATCTAATATTAATATTTTATTTCAAATTTATTTCAGTTACCAAAAATGATCTTTAATAGTTTTAATTGTATTTTAGTTAACAATAACAGCACTGGTAATAGGATGACGGGTCACTCAATATTGCAGGTCAAACATTCATGTCTCACTGTTATTGTGTTCTGTCGTCGTTACATGCTTTTGCAAAATCCCAGGTCCCTCATTTTGTCTGTTTTAGAAATTTGCAGCAAACTGCAATGGCTTCTGTGATGGTAGAAGTGAACTGACCGTACGGACACCAGCTGATGGTTCACTGAGATCAACGGTCTCCACAAGTCTGTGATTACGAATGCGTCACTTATTGCTGAGGTTTGTTCATGACGCTTAGTTTATATAAGGTCGTCTGAACTAGATCGAGCGGATCAGAGCATCTGTGGCATGAGTCAGGAGTGTTTTTGAGGCTTGCTCAGTTCATGTGTTTTGTGTGGTAATGGACGTTCAGTCAGTGTGTGTTTGGGTTTGGAAAGAGGAATGTGTTGATGTCAGAGACAAAGTGCTGTGATTGTCAGGATGCTTCAGTTGAGTGAAGAGCACCATCTCGCCTCGGGTAAGGACAGGTGAGTGTGTGTGTGTGTGTTTGTGAGTGTGAGTGTGAGTGTGTGTGTGAGAGAGAGAGAGAGAGAGAGAGAGAGAGTGTGTGTATGTGTGTGTGTGTGTGTATTAGAGAGAGCTGGAGATTGAGAATAAATCATTTCAGTGATTGTATTTGGAATTTTGATGAATGCATGGAAATTTAGCATGTAAAGATGTACACTACTATTCAAAAGTTTGATTTAGATTTTCTTTAAATAAATTCATACTTTCAATCAGCAAGGATGCATTACATTGATCAAAAGCGACAGTAAAATACATTTATAATTTTACAAAAGATTTATATTTCAAATAAGCGCTCTTCTTCTGCTCATCAAACAATCCTAAACTAAAATGTATCACAGTTTCCACAAAAATATGAAACATCACAACTGTTTTCAACATTGATAATAATCAGAAATGTTTCTTGAGCAGCAAATCAGCATATTAGAATGATTTAAGACTGGAGTAATGATGCTGAAAATTCAGAAAACAGTTATTTTAAATTGAAATAATATTTCCCATTATTACTGTATTTTATAATCATATAAATGCAGCCTTGGTGAGTATACAAGACTTCTCATTTGCACTCATTCTTGTTAGTCTGATTAGCTAGATATTAATATATATAGAGTTAGGTTAAAGTTTGGATATTTACAGCAGGTTAAATATTTATCTATCATTGTTTACTTGGCTGTAGTTTGGAGGCAGATCTCCTGTGTGTTTTATTTAAAGTCTAGTTACATGTTAGTGTTGGTCATAAAGCAGATAATCTCTTAATCTGTGTTTCAATCTAAATGATCTGATGGTGACTCTGATTACAGGAGAATATCCTCTATTATATAACATAAACCATTAGCATACATTACTGTTACTGCTGTATATATAAAATTTTAAACATACATTGAAAACTTTACAATATATATTACAAACATTTTACAAGTAAAGACAATGAGGCTATGTAATACTAAAATTAAAAATTAAATTATTCATTTTATTTTGTTTTTTGGATCATGTGACAGTGTTATCTATGAGATGAAAAAGGTTGTATTGTTTACATAAACGACAACAAAGATGAATGCTGGCAGTGAAAATTATTTTTTGTTCATTTTTAAAGAATATTTAAGATAATTAAAAACAGTTTGAAAAAATACATACATATTTCTAAAACGT